GATGTTTAACCTTCTAGGTTCTATAGAAATATTAGAATTGTATGAAGGCCATAAACCTCCCTTTGCACCCCTATAAACTTGCTATAGATCTAGGGATGCATATGCTCTAATCCACATCAATATTTAAGAGTCTCATTAGGAAAAAAACTATTGTTTATAAGCATTAGTCAAAAATGTATTTTATATTGGTATCTCATCATCTTTTGCATTCTCTATAAATGGAAAAAAATCAAATATTTAATTTTTTTTGTAGGATAAATCATGTATCTATCGTAGATAGTACTGATTTGATTGCAATCTAACATAACACTTGTGAGATCGACACTCACTCAGTCACTTTATTACTTGATCGACATGTATACTTACGTATATAGTGGGAAATTTTATATCAAAAAACTTAAGCCATTAATTGACTGAAAGACATATTTTATTTCATACACAGTCAAATATTCATGTGCCTACACAAAGGCCCCCATTAGAAGTCTCTAAAGACGAATTAGTATTTGTAGTGATGAATGCACGTACTGTCAAAGGGTACACAACATATACCCTATGTTGTGGTAAGTGGAAGGTGACTCGATAGTCTATGAGAAGATATCAAGAAGGTAATGCCATCCTTTACAAGGAGTTTGCCTTAAGATAAGAGATCAAGAATGCAATGGGGTACTTAAAGGCTGAGATAGTAAGGAAGTGTGCAACCCACGAGGAGGAGCTTGTAAGGTAAGATTGTTCCCTAATGTAAGTTAAGGAGTTGAAGAGGAAAAGGATTGTTGAAGAACTTATTTGGCAAGATGAACGCTTCAAGGTGAAGGAGGAGAAATGGATATCCTTCCTTGAAGTTCTACAATACCATGAGATTCTTACTAAGATGTATGATGATGTGATTAAGTAGTAAATCCAAGGAGATTAATAAAAAAATTGATGATAAGTGTGGGAAAATAAAACCACCACGTAGATTGTAGGGAAACTCCTATTTTTATCGTCGATTGCTACACAGAGAATATCATACCATCTTGAGAGACATGCATAATATTCTATAATTTAATCAAAGATAAAAATAGAGTTTTAAAATTTTATTATTCTTAGGATTAAACTTAATAAATATAATAACATATTCTCTCTAAAGGCATATATGATATTCTATAATAATATTCAAAGATGAGAATGGATCATGAAAATATTACCATTTTTTATAATTAAATACTATAAAGTAAATAGCATACTATCTCAGGAAATGAACATGACATTCTATAATGGTATTTGGGAATAGAAATGTGGTTTTAGAAAATATTTAATATCCTAAAGATTTTTTTCCTACCATAAGAGACTAAGACTGAGTTTATTTTTTCTAGGGTTACAAGTTCCCCCATAAAAGCAAGCCTTTATAGTTAATTACATCTTAAGAGGGAAAACTCTTAAGAATACTCTCAATTAAAATAAGGGCTAAATATTTGTTTATTTTAAATTTTAGGCAAGGTTTAGAAGCTAAGATTTTTAAATGGGATTGGATCAAGGTTGAGAAGTTCTTTCTGGAGGTTAAAGGGTGAGATATAAGGAACAATAAAGTTATTAGAAGCTTAGATTTAATTTTAGTTGAAAGTTATTTTTAAATATTCTATGATTTCTTAAGAGTACAATGCAAGTGAGTTTATATTCTTATTATTTTTAATAAATTATTTATATATTTTCTAAAATTACTTTAGTTATATTTTTTAAGGTTAAAACCCACTATCGACCTTACACATTAATTAAAATAAAAATTATAAGACCTTAAAAGGGTTCAATAGCTCTCTAATGCTTAAAAGATATAACTATGAGCCAAAGACTCCATCTAAGTAGAAGAAATGAAAAAAATTTAAAAAATATAGGGTGGCCAGGATCCAACACCAAAAAATAGAAGATCCACAACAAATTTTTATGCGCCATCATCCTGCAAAAAATATAATTTTGCAAAAGGCTAAAAAGCAGTAATAGGCCTGTAAAAGGAAAAGCCTCCAAAAGAAGATGAGATTGAGCCATATAGGAATAGTGGAAAAACATTATAACAATTAATATATAACCAGAATAGTACAAGAAACCCAGACTAGAGAATTAAGATCCAACAACTCATAGTACTAGCAATAGCCCTAGAACAAAAACCTAGGCAATAGATAACATGGATAGAATCCCATATCACAAATAGAAGCACACAAGAATTAAGGCCCCATATAGTGAACAAACATCCCAAAGAAGCAAAGAGAAAAACCAAACCCAGTATCAGAAACTGAGCCAATAAACCCCCTCTGACAGAAGAACTAGCAACAGAGGAACTCACAAAGTACTCAAAAACCAGCACAAAAGCAACCAAGAATATGGACAATAACAATAAAATAACACAAAATATAGATACAATAAACATAGGTAATAAAGATAACATAACCCAAATATAACCTCAAAGAAATAGCCAAGGACCCAAAAGACATAGAGGGAGGAAATAACCCACAAAAATAGAAACAAAAGGGACAAACGAGGACCCCAACAAGCATATGAAACCATAAAAACTAAATAAAGAGAAAGACCAATCAAAAGGAACCAAAATAATGTAAGAAAAAAATTCCCCAAAACCCAGCTGCAGGGCAAATTCAAGGTTATTAACAACTAAAATAAAAAAGCAGCAACTCAACATCCAAACAAAAAATTAAAGCCTAACATAGTGCAACCTAGATTTATCCAATCTAGTTATGCAAACAAGGGGTTTAGAGAGAGCATGCTCCAAAAATTTCTTAAACTCATTAAGTATTACAACCCAATTAGCTAACTAGTCAGCACAGCTATTGGCTTCATGCCACACATGAGTTAACTAATAATTAAAATTAAGTAAAAGTAATCTAATTTCCCTCACCAAATAGAAAAGATCATGATTGCAAGTTTAATTGCCTTTAGCTTATAGAATTTGAATCAAAAGTAAAGCATCATTTCAATCCAAATATCTTTAAAATTCATGGCTAGAAAGACATTAAGACCATAGCAGAGAGCTTTGAGCTCAGCTAAAATGATAGAATGAATTTGAAGAGGGCCAACAAAAGGATGAGAACATCCCCAAAATAGTTTTTGATGATGCCACCATAACCACTAGTGCCAATTTTAACAGAGCCATCGAGATTTAGTTTAATCAAGGGGCTATATGGTTTGACCCAATACACAAATAGAGAGTTGTGACTATTGTCCCCCAAAACAAACTTTAATCCAAAACTCGAAGCCACACTAAAGTATCCGTAAAATAAATTTAAGACTTAACATATTAACATTATATAAATGATAAACTTTTTCCTTAATCCTAGAAATCACTCTTCGATGATCCATTTTTTTATTGTTGTGAATAGCATCATTCCTATCCAGTCATAAAAACCAAAGAATAAGAATAAGAACAACATTAACAATATGCCCTTTGGAATTATAAAACTTAGCTCTCATAATAGATAAAATAACACCATCCCCTTTGAAGTGGTTTCTGTTCAAAATAACATCAAAATTAATAAAAAATTTAACAATAGTAGGGTAAGTCACAAACACAACATTCAATGTTTCCAAATGAAAATGACACTCTCATTTGGAAGGTAGAGTAAATCCTTTAGATTTAAGATGATCATCAGTTGGGATGATCTTATGCAAGAACCTCCAAATTAAAACAACTATAGTGGATGGAATGCTCTTATGCCAAATAATGGAAAAAATATGAGAAATAGGTTTCTTATCTCTATCATGATTCCAAGTGTCTTTCAGCGAGAACTTACCATAAACATATATTTTGAAAAGAATGCAATCCTCATCCTCTAATTTTAAAGGAATTTTAACAATTTGCTCAATAAATGGTAAGGGAATGTATCCAAAAGCTTAGGAACATTCTAATAGTTATTACAAATAAAATTATGCACTCTAACCGTAGAAGTAGATTAGGAATTAAAAAAAGTATCAAAAGAAGCAGAGCCCATCCAATGATATTGCCAAAAGAAAACATTAGGTGGATTTTCAAATGTGTCATGCACTACATCCAAGGTACTATTCACTTACCACATTTTATGATGCTAACTGTGCAAGTGATCCATTTACCAGACGCTCCACATATGAATATTACACCTTTCTAGGAGTTACTCTCATGTCATGGATGGTCAAGAAACAACAAAGGGTGGCTCGATCTCCTACAGAAGCTGAATACCGTGCACTAGCCACCACCACCATAGATGTAATTTGGATTCTTCGCCTCCTCTCCGACTTTCATCTACCACAATCCACCCTGATAGACATTCATTGTGACAATACATTAGCCATAGTGCTTGCAAACAATCCGATCTTCCACGCCCGCACTAAACAAATCGAGGTGGATTTTCACTTCATTCGCGATCACATTCAGACACACGAGGTTTGCGTCATACCCATCAACACTATGGATCAACTCGTTGACAGCTTGACCAAACCATTACCTACTCCTCGATATCTTTTCTAGCGATCCAAGCTGACGGTTCAACCCTCACCCTTAGCTGACGAGGAGGCAAAAATTGTAACTTTTACAACTTGCTATGATTACCAAGACACTAACCACTAGGTGGATCAGCTACCTCCTTTGCTCAACAAATGAGAGCCGTAGGATTGCAACAACCAAGATCAATCATCACCATACACCTGTAAAGTCATGTACCTGTGCAAGAGCACAATAGTATACATATAGATGTACAAGTTACACTGGAATGAGATGCTTTTCATTTTCTGCTATTTTCTCCTTTCCGTGCCTTCACTAAAGATGCGTAAAGCATCAATTTCTACACAGTAAACTATCTAGTTTTTACAATCTTGGCTAAATTTAAGCTAAGTGGCAACTAAATAGACCCTTAGGCGAATCTAAAAGATTATTGTGTTTTTTATCTTTATCTTGATTAAATTTAAGCTAGGCCCCAACCAAATAGACCATCGTGCAGGATCTAAAAAGTCGTTATCCCTTTTATCTCTGGCCTTTCGGTGGTCGGTGATCGATTGCTTTGCTAATCAATCTTCGTGTTGGATCATAGTACGTCTGCGTGTAAAGCTTTGGTAGAGTTTTTGGTTTTCACCGTTTGTTAGTTTTTCATTTTATAATAAATGAGAGGCTTTTAGACCAGTAGTTTCTCCTAAGTTTCCGTTGCATCGACAAGCTGTTAAACTCGAACCTAGAGTTTTGTAAAGTTGGGTGTAGTTGTTGTTTTTGGTTGATATTCACGAGATATAGGCTTTCTGGTCACATGAAAGTTAAGGAGGGAGCAGTATCAAGTGTGGGTCTTAACTGCTTTTTAACAGTAGCAATGACCATGAGTGCTTTTTATTCAAGGCTACAAGGGTGTTCTTGCTTGTGTATTGGAGAACTTCGAAGTAAATAATAACGGCAAGAAGAAACATTTTAATTTTATTTTCGTTAGAGGTCTTTGCAAGGCTGGGAGATGGGCAAATCTGCAGCTGTTTGGGATCAGAGATCAGAGTTGGAGATTGCGAGGGATTGGAATGGAATCGAGCAGGTTGTGCTTCGAGTTCCTAGAGGAGCATCTGCGAAGGTGCGATTTGATTCCTTGTTATTGCCCATTTCTCTGAGCTGGTGATTCTTTCCTTCATAAAATCACTGCTTATTTCCTTGGCATTTGAAAAAATGGCTTTCCATTTCAGGTTAGTTTGCATGGGGGACAGGTAATCTCATGGAAGAATGAAAGGGGTGAAGAGCTCTTGTTCACCAGCAGTAAGGTGAAGTAAAACAAGAAATATTTCGGCTTTTTCAATTTTCTTTCAACATTAGCAAGAATCATAACTTCTCTCTTACTTGGAGGAAGCAGCTGCTGCTTTACACTTTAAGGTTTTCGGTAATGATTGTAGCCGAGTTATTCCGATGAAAACTGATAACCTTGTGGGTTATTATGTCTGTTTGATTGCATGGAATCTTATGAGGTGTTTATTTTTTGCAAATTAAATGAAGGAGATGAAATATGACATGCGTTTTTCCACTTATCCTTAATTCCTGCAAAATATGAAAATCTATAATACATATGAAATGATTTAGAAGTTTAATTGGCAGGAGTTTGCTGTTGAGTTTTTATTTGATGACTAAATCTTCCACTTTTGCTATAACTAGCTCAATCTATATATATATATATATATATATATATATATATATATTCTAACTTATGCGAAAAAATTATTTTAATTTTATTGTAGTTATTATTATCATTAGTTTAGAGTATTACTTGAAGCATGAACTAAAATTTATTAAAATTTTAAAAAATGCTGGGTAGGTGGGAGGTCATTTCATTATTGCGTTGTTTATTTCGTATGCAATTCTAAAAATGACGACGTTTGCCAAGTCATTACTCATTTCTGTCTATTACTAAAAACCTCTGTTTCATTTGCTGGCCTAACATTTCTGGAACTTGGATTTACTTTCTATTTATTGTCTCTTCAGTTACAGCTTGTTTTATGTTTGTTTTACTGGTGATATTCATTCAACTTAAGAAGTTTTACTTCCTTATGAAAGGGCTATGAAATATGCTAAAATTTTATCAATTCTTAACAAATAAAATAAATCTTAATGCAGTGAACATTTCTCTATCTCGATTTCTGACTACAGGCTATCTTCAAGCCACCTAAGGCGATGCGTGGAGGAATTCCTATTTGTTTCCCCCAGGTACAACGGTATTTTGAGTATTGCTCAATGTTAGGCCTCAGTTAAAACATCCATTAGCGGAAATTTTTTACATTTCTTTTTTCTACATTACTCTTTAGTTTGGAAATTGCGGGTCACTTGAGCAGCATGGATTTGCAAGAAACAAAGTATGGAGCATTGATGATGATCCTCCAACTCTACATTCAAATGATAGCAATGGAAAAGTTTTTGTTGACCTTTTGCTAAAGCCAATGGAGGACGACCTTAAGTGTTGGCCACACTGGTAGAGCTTCTGTCTCCTAGTATACGTACAGTTTTTATGAAATTGATTTGCTGATCAACTAACTATTCTGATTGTTCTCTATATAATTTCATAAATATTGCATTTTTTTGTAAGTTGCCATTTTATAGCTCATGGTGTTTTTATTGTTAAGGTACACAGTTATTCCTAATTATTTGCAGATCAGCACAATGAAGTCTCATTCAACAAATTGATTTCTGCACTAGCGTTTACAATTTTTGGATAGAGTGTTTCTTTAATTAAAAAAAAAAAAAAACCAGGTTTCCATTGAAAATTGTCAAGGTATAGTAGTTGACATGTGTGAGAAGATGCTTAGTTTATTGGAGGCGCTTACTCTTGAGGGATCCTTTTATCTTGCCTATATTTTGGTTCCTTTGTTTCATGCACATGTTTAATGAAAGAATAATTATTTGTGATATTGTGGGAAAGCAAACACCAATTTGTTGGCAACTAGATGACCGTCAAGAGAATATGCAGTATAAGTGTTTGTGTGAGAATTATAGAGTTTTTAATCAGTGCAAAATTATAAAAATGTTTAACATTGAGTGTGAATCTTTTGTATATGCTATGTCGATGTTTAATTGAAATAAATGAAAAGTCAAAATAATGATGGAAATTATTAGAAAGATATGAAGAATTAGTGGAACATGTACAACAAGGGAAAAAAGATTAGGAGTAGGATGGATTGATAAATTTGATTGAAAGAACTTAAATAAATGGGGATTGACCAAAGTTACATGGCTTGAAGATGTTCAAAAATTTATGCAAAATAGGGCACCTCATGCAATAATAAATAGGAAAGAATGGAGAATCAGGATTAATAAAGCTGGTGCCAAATACTTGGGATAAGGCTAATAATAAGTTGGTGACATGCTAAATAAACAAGAGTTCAATTGTCCTCAGAAAGAGGAATACAACTATTAGAATGTCTATCTGAACAAAATTGCTAGTTAACGAGAAAATGTGGTAAATAACCAATTGCACATAGCCACCATATCCACCATATAGGTGGACGTTTAGTAATTATAACACATATCTTCCCACAGAAAAAACTTGGAAGCTTCTAACCCTGATGCTTCTAAAAGCATATTACCATATGATCACTTTTATGCATCATGCCTTTCATAAATTGATCTTCTTTTACTTCTCACTTGCTGAAGATACTATGCTTACTTTCCTAGGATTATCATCTTACAAAAAGTCTTTATTCACTGTCTTGTAACTTTTTGTAAATGTGTAATGTGATATACATATAGCTAAGTGTAATACAATGTTTGGTTTCAGTTTTGAATTCCGTTTGAGAGTGTCCCTTTCAATGGATGGAAATCTAACACTGATTTCAAGAATTAGGAACATCAACGGGAAGCCATTTAGTTTCTCAATTGCATATCACACATATTTCTCTGTATCTAACATCAGGTATGCAAAAGTTGCTGGCTCTTCTATTTTGAATCAGCATATCATCTTCATTTTTTTGTTTGCATTTGTTTTGGCGTGAAGGTTGGCTGAGTATAAAGAAAATATTTTAATAAAATTAAAACTGATAGAGCTATGTTGAGTTCCTCGAAACATTTTGCTTTAAACATGAACATCTGCTTATCATGTTCTGTCATTCAAAATGTGCCACAGTGAAGTAAGGGTTGAAGGGCTTGAAACACTTGACTATCTAGACAATCTTTGCCAAAGAGAACGTTTTACAGAACAAGGAGATGCAATAACATTTGAATCCGAGGTAAATTCACATAATTTGAAGAATACCTGTGATGTTTATATTATTGAATTTCCATCTTTAAATTGAAACACACATTGTCACTTTTCCATTTGTTGCGAGAATGATATTGTAATTTAGTGGCGCAACCCATTGTCAAAATTAACTACAGGATCATATGGTTTTTGAATTTAGAAAACATGTTTTAAAAATCAAAGAAATATATTAAATCCATCATTTCATTGGATGCGACCAGACCGCAACATTTATTTTGACCTCCTTCGCTAATCTCCTCAAAATGTTTTCAATATAATGATTTCATTTTCATGCACAGAATGAGTGAAAATGCAATCATTATTTTCTTAGGTATGCTTTCTATCTACAACAAACAAATTGGCCTATGGTTTTGATTCGCTGTAAAGGAAATCATGTGGATTTTAAACTCTGCAAACCCCTATTTTAATGATTTTATTAAATCTCGATAAGTAAAAACTAAATCCCAGCTAGGTTTAATTGATTTTAATATCATATTTTTTTCAACCAACGAATGATTTTGAAATTATAATTACATTGCTTTCAACCAAATTAAGTTGATTCATTGTAAATATTGGGCCCATTAGATTATTTAAGTTAAAAAACTATTTTTTAAAATATTGAAATTTGTTTAATTTTGTATTTGTTTTGGTATATTCAAAAATTAATATTTATTTTAAAATTTACAAATTCCCCAAAATTCATTCGAATGTTAGGATGTCATTTTTCTATAACATGGTTTATAAAAGAGTTGTGGATGAAAAACATAATTTAGCAAACGATGATCTTGTTCTTACTCATTTTAAATGTTTGTTTGGCTACTTGTAAATGGAGAATATGCGAAATAACGTGATGATTTTGCTTTCATTGACTTGAGTTTAAAATAAAATACTCATTTTGGGATAAATTTTGATGGTATTTGTATAGTTCAAAATCCATATTGATTGCAAACTACATCCAAACAAATAATTGAATCTAAAAAGCTCATTATTTTTCAAACCATAATCTCTATCTTCAAACAATCAACTGAGACCAGAGTGTGAAACGGAAATCTTTATTTTAGAATGAAATTAAAGGTGTTTATGGAGTTTAAAATCCATATTTGTCTTCTAAAGTCATTCAACCAACTGATGAAAACTAATGAACTCATTCAGTTTTTGAAACGTGTTTTGTGACTTCAAACTACCATACTAGTATTTACAATATTTCAAAAACATGATTTCAACTTTCTGAATATTTAAACTTTCATTCAACCAATTGTACCCTTAGAAAGGATAAATTGCAAGATTCATTGAGCTCTTTATAACCTGGTGGTCATCTTCAGGTTATCAAACCTGTCTAAATAATTACAAGAAATACAATAAACAAACATAGAATCAGCCTCCAATTGTCTATTTGTTTCCACAAACAACTTCGATTGTTTTGAAGGGATTCAAAAACCGGTTAAGATTAAATCATTGATGAACCTTGCTGTACATGCCAGATTCTGATTGCATGAGAAATGGATGAAAAGTTGGTGTAAACAATGAATGTCAAATAACTGCTGGTTATCTTGTTCAAGGTTTCATGTTTCTGATCTATAGGTTGATCGAATTTACCTGGGCACACCTAATGTAGTTGCTGTTCTTGATCACGAAAAGAAGCGGACATTTGTTATCAGAAAGGAAGGATTGCCAGATATGGGTAAGATTAATGTTCATGAATGATGCTTATATTGTATTTGAATTTAGATCAACATACAGCATATCACACCCTCTACTTGTTCAGTAAAATAAGACTGTCGCAAAAAACAACTATCTTTAATTCAATAACACAGATTAAGGCTTCGTTTGGGACAGCTTTTTTATTGCTTCTGAAAACGGAGTTTTAGTACAAAAATTAAAAAAATTGTACTACAACTCCGTTTTAAAAAGCAATAAAAAAGCTGTCCCAAACGAAGCCTAAATGATCAATGCATCTGTTGTGCCGAAAGCCATAGGTTCCCCCAAGATTCAATCTTTAATAAACTTGTAGATTCAAAATTAATGAAAAACATAAGTAGGTTTTCCTATTGGTATAACTCCAATTAACTTACTTGGGTTGAGAAATCCTAATAATTCATCAAACAACAACAAAAACAATATCAAGCCTTTATCTCACTATGTGGGGTTGGCTACATGAATCCTTTTTCTTCATTGTGTCCTGTTAATAATCAATTTCCCATTTAAATCTAATAAAGAAAGGTCATTTCTAATATTTTCTAACCAAGTCTTTTTAGGTCTACATTTACCTTTCTTGACATAAGCCAAATCTAATACATCTACTTTTCTAACCAGGGATTTGGAAGGACACTGTTTTATTTGATCAAATCATCTAAAGCGACTCTCTCTAATCTTATCTTTCACTGGAGCTACTCCAACCTTTTCATGTATATGCTCATTTTGTATCTCGTCTTTAAGACTAAGCACAATTATCCACCTGGGCATCCTCAATTCTGCAACACTTAACTTAATATTATGCTTCCCTTTTAATGGCCAACATTCTACACCATAAGGCATTGCAGGTCATCTTACAGAATTTTCCCTTAAGTTCAAGGGGGAATTTTCTATCACACAACAAGCCCGATGCATTCCTCCACTTCAGCCATCCAACTTGAATTATACTAATAATATCCCCATCTATTTCGCCATCACTCTGAACAATGAACCCAATATATCTAAAACATGTGCTCTTATTAAGATTCGTGGCATCACAAACCTTCCTTGATGCAACAACTTCTCCCTCTCAATATAGTAGCCAGAATGGCTACTGTTATCTCTCCTCAAATCCTCCTTGATCTTTCTCAACTCTTCATTCTGCATGCTTTCTTTCTTGATGGCCCCCCAGTCTACCATCAATGGTATTGAAACAACCAACTTCTGAAGTTCCCCAACACATCTGGATAAGGCATCGACCGCCATATTTTCCATCCTAGACCTATTTTGGATCTCAAAGTCATAGCCTAACAGTTTGGACAACCATCTCTGATGCTCCTCAGTCACCATCCTTTACTCCAACAAGTACTTCAAGCTCCTCTAATCTGTCCTGACAATGAAATGACTCCACAAAATATAAGGGCGCCAGTTCTGAATAACCAAGACAATGGGCCATCAACTCTCTCTCATACACCAACTTCAATCTAGCCCTAATTGACAGCACTTGATTGAAGTATGCTATAGGTCTGTGATTCTGCATCAGCACTGCCCCCAACCCATATCCTGACGCATCGATCTCCCATAGAAAGATCTAGCTGAAGTCTGAAAGAGCTAAAGTTGGGGCTGCGTCATAGCTTTCTTTAATCTCTCAAAAGCTTGGGTTGTTGCCTCTCCCCATAAAAAGTTGACCTTCAGTTGCTCGGTCAAGTGCCAAGTTATGGTACTGTATCCCCTCACAAATCTCCTAAAGTACCCAGTGAGTCCTAGGAAACCCATCAACTCCCTTATGTTCCTAGGTATTGGTTATTTTTGCATTGCCTCATCGTTTTTATCGACCGCCACTCCCTACTGGGACACTACATTTCCCATGCACTCCATGCTAGACTGGGCGAAGCTGTACTTCTTTAGGTTGGCCCTTAGTTGATGCTCTTGTAAAACTTTCAAAACCACCTTCAAGTGCTCTATATGCTCCTCCAATTTGTTGTACAACAGAATTTTATAAAAAAATATCATAACAAACTTCCTGTGGTACTGTCGGAATACCCAAATGGCATCACCAAGAACTTGTAGTACCCCTCGGCATCCTGATGTACGTCTTCTAAATATCCTCCTCCATCCTGATTTGGTTGTAGCCCAACTTCAAGTCCATCTTAGAAAACATTATTTCTCCATACAGCTTTTCTAGTAATTCATCGATCACTGGAATGAGGAATTTATCCAGCATAGTCTCTTTATTCAGCGCCCTATAATCCACACAAAACCTCCAGCTCTCATCCTTCTTTTTGACCAGTAAGACTTGAATAGAGAAATGACTCATATTTGGTCTGATGATCCTAGCTTCCAACATCTCCCTAATCAGCTTCTTAATTTCATCGTTCAGAATTTGGGGGTAGTGATAGGGCCGTACACTAATAAATGAAACCCCCTCCTTTAAAAGGATTGCATGCTCTTGCTCTCTTGGTGGTGGTAAACCTTGAGGTGGCTGGAACACCTTACTGAACTGCTGTATGAGTGGTTGCACTGCAAGAGGAATGTCTCCCTCTTCTCCCATACTGACCCTCTCTAAGCCCTACAATTCCACCAAATATCCACCTCCCACCTGCTGTATGGTTTTAATCATGGATTTAAGAGATACTACGGCCCTGAACAACCCAGCATCACCATGGATCACCATTCTCCTTCCCCCTCCCAACCAGTTCCATCATCACGGCTCCCCAATTGACCTTGGTCTCCCCTAATGTCTGCAGCCATTTCATCCCCAGGATGACATCGATACTCCCTAATTCCAAGGGAAGAAAGTCCTCCTTCACTTAGATGCACTGAATGGTTAACACCACTCACTTACAAATTCCTCCAACCAACCTTTCTCATGCCCATAGTCTCCTGTATCTACTAATTTTACCCCCAGCATATCCACAATTTAGGTGGTGATGAAATTGTGGGTTGACCCACTATCTATCAGCACCACCATTTCTAACCCGCTCCCACCTCCCTCCTCAACTTTCTCGTCATCACAGACGATGAGAATCTGAAGAGTTCGTTCCTTACACCTATGCCGTGGCATGCACTTCTTATCACATCTAAAACATAACCCCTTTGCCCTCTTCTCTTGTATATCCTTCTCAGTCATCCTTTTGAAATTTCCTCCATTTCCCTATCCTCCAGCTCTCTCCTTGGGCACTTCCATTAGACTCCCTGGCGCTGGCCTCTTGGGAGCTAAGAAGGTGGTGGTCATCCTTTGATCCTCTCTCCAGTTGCTTTTGATCCTCCACCAACTGTGTTAGCTCTATGGCCTCCACCAGGTCTCTTGGCCTTATCATCCTAACCGCTGACTGTATCTCCGGTTTAAGCCTTATCATAAAGTTCCCCTCCATCACTGTCTCAGAGAGCAGTCTGATCTGCTGGCCAAGTACTCGAACCTGTCATGGTAATCTGCTATGGTCCCTTCCTGTGTGATGTCAAAGAATTGCTCATAGAAGTCTCCTCCCCTACTGGTTCAAAAATGTCCTAGCAAGCACTCTTTGAACTCCCTCCAGCTCCTGATGTGTTGCCTTATGTTACGCCATTAGTACCATGCCAGTGCCTTCCCCTCCAAACATAGTTTTTCTTCTGTCAGTTTCTCTTCCTTTGTCAACCCGTTGACGGAGAAATATTGTTCCACCTTATAGATCCAACCATGGCCATCCTTGCCCTCAAAGAAGGGCATCTTCAGCTTCATCACCTTCAGGTCACTCCCGTTGCCCCTGAATCCTTCATATCATCCCATTCTGTGTAGAGGAGGTGCTCCCCAGTTATCATGATCTTCCCTCCGGCAATCATACCCAACCCCTTCATCAAATTCCCTTCTTATTCTTTCAAATTCAGTACCTCTGCGATATAATTCCTCCCTTTACCCTACAAAATCTGCAGCCCTTCTTTCGAAACTAGTGCTCATCTCCTCCCTAGAAAGTGGTTCTAGAGGAGGAATTCCATCTTCTCCCTTCAAGATTTCCACTTCCGGATTTTTCCTTCCCCTAAATATGTTAGGCTTTCCACCTCTTCCATTGCCACCGATGGATTCCCTTGCACGAACAAGAAAAGCAGTATAATATACAAGTTTCTTCGATTTGATAGGAAGAAACAACTCTCCAAATCCTAGCAAAGCTTAAAGTCCCAAAAAGAACAAACCCTAGATCTCAAATCTCTTCCCAATTCAAGATGAAAACTAAACCCTAACTAAAAAGATTAATTAAAGCCAAAAGACTCTTACAAAAAAACTAAATGGCCATTAGTTCAAACTTTCCCTCCTAAATGGTGATTACATTGAGCAATGGGGCCTATTAGGGCATCCGCCCCCCTCCGCTTAGTTTCGCCCCACACTAGGCTTGTGCCGCTTGTTGTAGCAGTGAATCGGTCCAGGTAGGAACAGTTCAGCTGGCCCCTCCTGGGCTGGCCTAACACTTTTCTCTTTAATATTCCAAGCATATCTTTTGTAATATTCTTAATATCAGTTGTTACTTTTTCCTGCATAACATTAGCTTTCTCATGCACAAATAAAATCTTAAGATCTAAAATCTTCTCAACCATAGAAAAAAATCTTAACATATAAAACAACATTTTACTTTTTTTTTTGCCCCTAGATTTTGTGCATATCCTTTATTACTTCCTTCCCAATAATTCATCAAAAATCTAAAAAAATTATCATAGTTTCACCACATTCATGTCATATTTCACCACATTCATCTATAAAATCTAATAAAATATATTCATATCATATTTCACCACATTTATCTATAAAGCTGAAACATTCAAAATATTTCATTTATATCATATATATATATATATATATATAATTACAGAGCAACTAATAAATCAAAAATATTATGATAACAAACAACCCGTGTATCTGTTCATGGCTCATCTTATATTGCTATAAAAAAAAAAACTTAAGTTTTAAATTAATCTTAATCTACCCGACTTCCTTATTATCCTTGCACTTTCTTATAACAACAGTTAAAATAAAAATTTGGC